CTTATTTCATTGAGAAACCTCATGCATCAGTCCCTTTGATATTGCTGACAGTCTACCGAACATGTGAATGGTCACTGGACTGCAGGCAATTGATAAAGAGCTTCAGCAAACTGGAACCACTGAGAACTGTACAGGGGCAAATCTTGTTAATAGGATTCCAGCTCCTATTCAATCAAGAATGCCACGCATTGCAGTTGATTCAACGATGGCATCGGTCCGTTTCTTGATGGCAATGTAGCTCCTGTTAAGGCACCACTTGTGATGAAGTTCTAGGGTTTTTTGGCTTCAATCATATTATACTTACAGAGAACAAGCCTTCCTTGACTGGGCATAGTGGCTCATGCCTGTGGTCCCAGCTAGTCAGGAGGCTGAGGCAGGAGGAGTTTGAGGCTGCAGTGAGCTACAATCCTGCCAACGCACTCTAGCCTGGGTGACACAGTGAGACGGGGTCTCCTCCCCTCAAATAAACCTTCTTAGACTTAAAATACCTCTCCACAAATAAACTTTTGTAGACTTAACACCTATTTACCAACTGTAGTGCTTTATTTTTAATAGCTGTCTAATTTCCCTGTAATCCTATTCCCACTAATGAATTCCAAAAGTCTTTGTAAAAGGACACCACCTATGTTATGATATAGATAATGTGTTAGTCATTCACAAACTAGCAGGGGCAAGGGTCTTAACACTTCTTTCACCTTGATTGCAGAAGAGCCAGGCAAATGAGCTAGAACTGACCCTCTTTCTTATGTTGTCTTATGATACCCAATTGCCTCCATATAATGGTCTCTCCTTTTATAAATTCTTGTTAGTGACAAATGTATTTACCTCTTTTCTGCTTATTAGGATCCTGTACCCTGAATCAGGCCTTGGCCATTAAAAAAGAACTTCTTCCAGAGACCCTTATGCTGTGCCATGTACAGTTCAGTAATACTTTGCTAGACATTCCAGCAAGTAAAGTTTTTCATGTCTATTCCAATTTCAGCATGGAGAAAGGTAGGTTCTACCAGCTGAATCCGGTTTTCCCCTTCTGTTTTCCTATCTGTACAATTGTCCTATTTTTAGTGGATTGCATTTATACCTTCCATTTTCATCTTATATATAACTGTGAAATCCTTCTCAATCAACATTGTTGTTCAAGCCATTCAACAAATTTTTAACACATCTCCTAGAACACCCTGTGCTTTTCTTTTATAACTTACTATTTTCCTGTTAGTCCCCATTGTCTCTGTGAGGGTCTGAATGTTTGTTGTTGAACTGAAAGACATTCCAAGGTAAAATAGAATTAACAGGAGGAAGCAGAAGTAAGCAATGATGTTGGGATGACTTTATATAAATCGACTCATCTAAAATGAGAGGATTCACGTCAAATGTAAGGTATTAACAGGGTAGTGATACATCATGAGAGAGCCCCTAACCCCAGGCCAGGCAGTTTGAATGGTACGGGTAATGAGCAACCACTGAAAGAAGGTTCATTCAGCAAACTGTTGAGCACCAACCATAATACCTGGTGCCACGAGAGGAACTGGAATTACAAAGAGAAGTAAAGCTTTGAACTTTTACTGTTACTGAACAGAGTGATTACTTACAGAATAGAGATATACATGGCATGCTAGGAAAGCAGAAAGAAAGGGGTGTCTACATCAAACCTAGAGGACAAGGTAAGGTTTCACAGAGGAAATGACTTTAGAAGTATGACTAGGAGTAAGATAGATATGAAGAGAACAGGACATTCCAGGTTTAGAACCCTGAGGAAGTTTTTTTCAAAGATAAAATGAAAGCAGTTTTCAAGGATCTAGTGGCAGCATATAGAATGAATAAGAGAAATAGGAGGCAAGGAGACTAGTGAAGGGGCCATTGCAATAATCCAAGCATGAATTGATGAGGGTCTAGACCAGAGTAATAGAGAAATTATAATAGAGGGGGCAAATGTCAGAGACATTTCAAAGGCTAAGTTTAGCAAGATTTGGACAGTGATTGGATATAGGGATGAAGGAAAGGATGTTTAGACAGCTGAGGGTTGAACATGGGTAATTAGAAAAACAATACCATTGACAGAATGACATCAAGAGGTGGTTTGATAGGGAAGTGATTAAACCATGCTCAAACCTTGTCTTTCTCTCTCAAACCCTTTCCTGATTTCACCAATATTACTTCATTTTATATCTCCAGTCCTTAATTGCCCTGCTTGTGCTACATTATTTAATACTCCCTGACATGCTGAGTAAGAATGGTATTCTCAGGCAACAAGTTCAGTTGTGGATTTCCTGGGACTGTTTTCTTTTTTTGGTATCCTCCCCATAGTGACCAATGTATGCTTATACTGAATACTCGAAACTGAATTCTCATTTTCTTTTACTGTATTTGCATGTCAGTTTTTCCTTCCTATCCTGATTCAGTGGGCTCAATAGAGCTTCTTAACCTTCCTGCTCAGTTTTTCCCTTTTTTTCAGGGATTTATGTCTGCCTAATCAAGGTTCGACCGCAGTCAGAGGAGCTGCTCCAGGCCCTCAGCACGGCTGACACCTCGGTTTATGGGTGGGCCACACTGGTCAGCGAACGTAGCAAGAATGGAATGCAAAGAATCCTCATTCCTTTCATCCCAGCCTTTTATATTAACCAGTCAGAACTGGTTCTTAGCCACAAACAAGACATCAGTGAGATAAGAGTACTGGGAGTGGATAGAGTTCTTGAGAAGCTAGAGGTATGTTAAAGACTGGACCAAAAAAGAACAGGAGATCAGAGATTTGAAGAGACTTTTCATTCTCATTCCAAGGGTAAAAGAAGTTAACTGAGTGACTTGATAAAAATCACGATAGGAAATTCCTAAATTTAATGAATTAAATCTGTCCCCTTCATAATGCCAGGCAGGCTCCCGGAGTCCAAAATCTATGTCATGAGCTTTGTCCATATGGAAGATAACACCAGTGCTATCTTTAAACTAATCTTTAGAATTCTGGTTTAAAACTTTTTTGAAGCCTATTTTATTCTCACAGCTCATTTTCTTCCCTTATCCTTCAACATATCTAAGGGGGTGAAATCCAGATCTTGGCAATTCTGACAATTTATGTGTTTGAGGTTGGAACATATTGATACAAACTGATTTTTCCTCTTTCAAACAAGAGTTTTTTTTCTCTCTTCTCCAAGGTCTTCTCCAGCTCTCCACTTCTAGTGGTCTCTGGCCGTAGGCACTCTCCCCTCACTCCTGGCCTGGCCATCTACCCTGTAAGAGTAGTCAACTTCACTTCCTTCCAGCAGATGGCATCACCTGTTTTCATCAATATTTCCTGTGTGCTCACCGGTCAAAGTGAGGCAGTGGTAGTGAGAGTTATGAAGGATAATTCAGGTGCAGGTGAGCACTGGAGGCCCCTATTTTTAATCTAGAGGGGGAAAGAAGACAGAATATATTACAGTAGGCCCCCTGCATCTGCAGCTTTGCCTTCTGAGGTTTCACTTACCCATGGTCAACTGTGATCTGAAAATATTAAATGGAATTTCAGAAAAATGTTTTAAATTGCACACTGTTCTGAAGTAGCACAATAAAATCTCACAATGTCCCATTCCTGCCCCTCCACGATTCATTCTTTTGTCCAACGTAGTATCCACACAGCTACCAGCCTTTTAATCACTTAGTAGCAGTCTTGGTTATCAAATCAACTGCTATCCTATAGTGCTTGTGTTCAAGTAACCCTTATTTTACTTAATAATGGTCCCAAAACACAAGAGTAGTGATGCTGACTGTTCACATGTACCAAAGAGAAGTGAAAAGGTGAAAATTCTCAACTTAATAGGGAAAACAACATGTTTATAGGGTTCAGTATTATCTGAGGTTTCAGGCATCCCCAGGGTTATGGAATATACTCCCGTGCACAATTTAATGGGAAACATTTAGCCACTTGATCAGGATTACTCAAACTAGCTGGAGCATGGATTTTATCTTCCAAACTTACCCAAAATACAACCTTTAGGTGGCTTTCTTAACTAGACCGAGATTTTACACTTAACATATATTAACAATAGGCTGGTATGAAGGTGGTCAGTTCTCTCGATTGTGATTGTTGTTCAGTGACAGATTGAGCTCCTTATTCTACTCTTCCCCCTCCCCCACCCCAGCACTACACTTGACTAATCTTAAAAAAAAGTTACATCAGTTTAACATTAAAGCAGTTTAACAGTAAGTTTGTCAGCTTTGTAAGTATACTATTTACCCTATTTTAAACTTGATAAATGTTTTGTTTTCTTGAAAAGTATTTAGATCTTTTCACATCAGGCAAGGGGCAAATGTTGGTAAACACTAGAACCAAGACTTCCCCAAATCCTGATTCCAGGCATCACCTAGTTTAGAAATGATACCAAGTTTGGATGGAATGGGAACACAGTTATGGAAAGATGTGTTGGGAAAGCTAGAGAACCATACTTATATCAGTCACATCCACCTCCCCACCCCTCAAGGGAAACAGTGCTTCTTTTAATTATTGGGAGTGAACTAGGCTAAATGCTAGCACATCTCCTCCTAATGGGAAAGTTTTCTGTTGTTTTAGTGAGCACCTGGTATGTACTGAAAAATATCCTAAGCACATTTATATGCATTTTGTTTTAATTCTCTTACTATAGGAGGTAGGTGCTTTTCCCTATGTAAGAGCTAAGGAAATTGAGATGCTCTCTAGATTGCCTGCCTCTAGAAACACTACTAGAACACCAATCTGTTGGTCAATCAGTGCTTTCCAGTAGAGCAGAGTTTTTAAATCTTACAGTCCATAGATCTATGGGTCCACAGACAGAACTCAAGGTGTCCATGACCCTGAATGGGAAAAAAAAATTGCATCTTCATTTTCAATTAACCTCTAACTGCAAGTTAGCATTTCCATTCTTTTTTTCTAAGAGATGGTCCTTGCTCTGTCACTCAGACCAGAGTACAGTGGCATGAGCACAGCTTGCTATAGCCTTGAACTCCTGGGTTCAAGTGATCCTCCTGCCTCAGCCTCCTGAGTAGCTGGGACTACAGGTGCACACCACCATTCACAGCTGATTAACATGGCTTCTAAGTTTTATTTGGACTATGGTCCTATAGACACTGGAAAGCCAAAAGCTTTAAACAGTGGGACCTGATCAAGGATTAGTTTTTAGTGTGTGCAACCTCCAATTATTTCTGAGGTAGTTTGCCAATAGTGAAGAATGAGTATGGTTCAAAGGTAAGATCAGTCAGGAGTCGAGGTAGAAGGCCTATACTAGGGATGTGAAATAGCAACTAGGTATGAGCACCTGGTAACCAATTTATATGGGAAGGCCTGAATTTCAGGCAGTTGGAGGGGGCAGTTCATTTCTAGATACTGAAGAATTTGAAATTATCAAATGCAGACTCCAAATATGCTTCAAAAACACAAGTCTGTAAAGTTTTATCGATAAGGTTTGGTACAAGTCAGAATGCTCCCTAGAAACAATATCCTGAGTAGGACCAAGGGTACTAGATTTAATAAATCAATAGTGATCTAAAGAAAGGTTTTAGGTTAGAGAAATTAGAATTGTAAATGGAAAGTATGTTACCTGGGGTTAAAGTGCACAGAAAAGGTAACTGGAATTTTAACGTAGCAGAGAGTTTGAAGCATCCTTTGTAATCTGAGAGGAAGAAATAACAGGCTCAAAAATTAGAGAACTCTATTATCCTAGAGATAGGAAGAAGCCAAAAAAAGGTGAAGGAGCCAAGTATAGTTCACACTTGAAGCCCTCTTCTTTCCAGTAAGGGCTGGGTTTTGAGTATTTCTATTTTGACTACATGTCTTTAAATGCAGTATCTGCCCTGGATGTTATTAAGTAACTATTATCTTGTTTTGTTGTGACCAACGCACAGATCAATGTGAAGATTCAAGCATCCTCAAGCAGTTCATTGGTTCTTACCAGATCCTCCTCTTGACCCTCTTTACAGTATTGGCATCAACAGCTTTCATCTTTCTAGGTAAGGAGTGCTTATATTCAGTACCATGGACTCTGATTTGGAAACTGCCTTCATTTCATTTCACAAACTATATGAGGATGAAAATTAGCTGTTTATCATATATAATTTGTGACCAGTGGTTGAAACTGAGTTAGCTGCCCTAACCCTAGTCACACAGCGGACTAAAGGTCCTCCTCAACTTACTACTACTACCAAGAAGCAATAAGATGTAAGGGGTGAACTAACAGGGCGAACTGACACACCACTCAGAAGTAGGAACCACTGCTCGATCTTGATATAACATCTGCTTTTGCTGAAATTCATAGCTAGGGATGATTCAAGTAATACAGTACATCATCATTGTACACATCTGCCATTTCCATCTTTAAGCCAAAAGTTGAATGAAAATACCTCCATAATGGGTCAAATAAAAATTTCCTGTAGTAATCTATTACTATTAATCTGAAGCATTACTGCTTTCACAGCAACATTAAATATCATTTAAGAGTTGACTTTACCCTTTAAGGCCTTCCTCCAACAGTAACCAGATGCCTTTTTTAAGTATCTCCCTTGTCCTTTTTCCAGCATACAATGCCTTCTTAAACAAGATACAGACTGTTCCAGTTGTATATGTACCAACTCCAGGAACACCACAGCCAGGTAAAAAACCACTGTCCTCATTTTTGAAGATATACACAATTTAATTCACTCAACCCTTCGTCTTTCTTCTCCCCTTCTAGGTTCTTATACTTCTACATATTCTCCTCCTCCCTTCATGAGTCCACAAGCCCCAGTGGCCCAGAGTCGGCTTCGACATTGGTTATGGAGTATAAGGCACTAACCTACACTTGGACAAGTCCCCTTTAACTGTAGGGGAATGGAGATTTGTAGCTCTGGAAAAGGAAGCTAGCAGCAACCTCTATACTAAGCCTCCAAACAAGGCTTCTGAGAACTATAAATAAAGCATTCTAGGCTTTTTTTTTTTTTTTAATTAAAGTGGTGTGTTGGACTGTGTTGTAAAGATTCACTGTCAATTCTCAACTCTAAGAAAACATCAAAATGAAAATCTCATTTATGTAGTATTTCCAGTTTTTAAAAATCAAACTCTTAAGATTTACCCAATGAGCCCAGGAGGGTAAAAATGTTCCAAATGGATTTTTTAAGTATTTGGTCACTTACTTGCCCCAAATGACTTTAGTATTCCACTCTTCTGGTTGCCCCTGAATACTTGAGGCAGGAACTTCCTAGCAGTTAAACAAGACAACAAACAGGATATATCCAAAATGTGTTTACTTTATTGGGATGGTTTCCCATTCATTCAAGCAGGATACTTAGTGCTGCTTCCTTCTGAAGGAACATCCTGGAAGAAATAGTTTCAGAGATTAACTGACATTAGCCTAAGTACCCTGCCCACTCCCACAAAACAAGATGTCTAGTGATCCACCCTCAGAAATCTACATCTTTACTTTTCTCCCCCCTTTAGCTACCTAATCGTTTATATCACTTTGGTCACTTCATAAGCAGCTTCAGCCCATATAAAGCCCTTTATCACCTACCCATCCCAGTTTTAGGCATACTGCTTTGTAAACACATAGTTTCTAATAACTGCTTTTTAAAAAAGGATACTGAATTCAAGCCGTCTTTACAAGACACTCTGAAAATTAACATTACACATGATCCCTCTCATTATAAGATTCAAAGCCTATAACAACTTTTTTTATTTCGAGGGGAAAAAAAATTCAAACTCCAAATCACAGTATTAATTAAACCATTTACCTTCTGTAAGCCTTGCTTTTCCTCCTGTAGGCTGGCAGAGGACAGTAGAGCAACCAACACACAAAACTACTGTTTGTGCATGGCTAAACACCGTGGTGATTTTATAGCATCCTGAAAAAAAAGAAAACCACCAAGAAATAAACGGTTAACACTCTCTCCATTATTACCCTCATTATCTTTCCTTCATTTAAGCCCAACTCATCATCCCATTCATTAGTTTCCTATAGCAAAGGAATGAAAAGTTTGTACATAGAATTTCGATGGAATATCACTCTGAACTGAATCACTTCTCCTAAATTCCAAAACTCTGCCAACCTAGTACATCTGAATTTTAAGGAAATCAGGGACAGTATTATACGGACTCGGTTTTACAGACTAAGAAACTGAAGCTGCTGGGCTGCTTCAAGGATATGACACAACTCACGCTACAACTTCTTCCAACTGTTGAAGTCCAGCGCTTTCTCCATCACAGCAAGCCATCTTCTTACCTGGGCATTTCACATCCATGAAGTAGGAATTTGGGCTCTGCACCAGGCGCTTCTTCTTGTGTTTCCTCTTCTCCTCTTCTGGAGAGGGATGAAGGAGATCCTTTGCGAGCTAAGAGGAGCAAAATGCAGAGATTTAGAAACCAATGGCGAAAATGAAATGATTGAAAACAGCCCCCACTGTCACACACCGGGGAGAGCTCGCCCCTCGCGGCCCCTGGTGTCTGCGCAGCTGGGCCGCCATCTTATCTCCTCTCCGCTCCCGTCTATGCGGGTGGCCCGTGGGCCGCTGCGGTCCCTGGAGTTAATGTCCTAAGAAGTGCAGAGGGTAAATGAGGACCCTCTACGATCCGAAATCAGCGTGAGGGGAGCCTGCGGACAGAAGAGCGAGATCTCCGCCGAAACCTGGACCAAGGGACTCACAGGCATGTTCTCGTGAGAAGGCCGTCACCGCCGGAAAGGGGGGAAAAGCGGAAATCCTGCTCCTTATATCCGGCACCTTACAGGAAATGACGCACAAGGCTTGTGCAGCCATATTGGGAAGGTCCTGCTCTCAGTCCTGCAGCGGGGCTGGAAGGGAGCTGCCATCTTCGGAAGGACTCTAAATGATGCTTATGACACAGGTGTGTCGCCACGTTGCACGGGATATCTTGCTATCCTGAGGTCGTTGTTTGATTACTATCCGAGGGGTAAACGGACTCTTTAAAAATTTGGGGCCACACTTTTGACAGTTGAAGCCTAATAGGAACGGTTGAGGAAAACAACAGGGAGAACGAGCCATATCCGAGACTTCTTTACTATTTTTCAGTTACCCACAATCTTAACTATTTTTCTATTGGCTTAATTTATCCATGTCTAACAATTCAAGATGTAAATATTTAAAAAAAAAAAAAGCGCTCTTCGTATTTTTCCCACCCCTAACCTACTCCTAGGGTTTACCATTGTTAAAATTTTGTTCCAGGAGATATGTAGTGTAAATTAAAAAAAAAAAATTATTTTGTCTCCTTCCAATCCTTTCCCTCTAGGCCCGGTGCGGTGGCTCGCGCCTGTAATCCTAGCACTCTGGTAAACTGAGGCGGGAGGATCCCTTGAGCTCAGGAGTTGGAGACCTGCCTGAGCAAGAGTGAGACACCCCCGTCCCCCACTAATGAAAATAGAAAAAATTAGCAGGACGTGGTAGTGCTCGTCTGTAGTCCCAGCTATTCTGGAGCCTGAGGCAGGAGGATCAGTTGAGCCCAGGAGTTTGAGGTTGCAGTGATGAGCTAGCCTGACGCCTCAGCACTCTAGTCTGGGCAACGGAGTGAGACTCTGTCTCAAAAAAAAAAAAAGGTGAAAGAAATCCTTTCTCTCTGAATAATAATTATAATTAAACACACAGTGCTTACTGTGTACACCTGTTCTGACTTCCTTCCATATGTTAATTAATCTTCGCAGCAACTCTATGAGGGTGATTATTATTATCCCCATTTACAGATTATCATATCGATGCCCGGAGAAGTTAAATAAGTTGTCCAAGGTTAGCAGAATATGTATCTACGTAACTACACACATCTTTACATATATATGTATATGTGTATATCCACACATACATATAAAGATGCTCAGAGTCTCTCTGAACCTATTCTGGTTCAGGAGGCTGCCTGATTCACAAAAAAAAAAAAAAAGATAAAAAATAAAGATGTAAATATGGTAACAGATATATAGATATAGACAGATTCTCTTGCACCTGTATGACTATATTTGTAGGAAAATCTCTAAAATTGAATTGTTGAAAAAAAATTGAATTCCTGAATCAAGAGTATGTACACTGAGAGGTACTACTAAACTGACTTCCAATAAGGTTTTGCCAGTTTACATTCTCCAATTCTTTTCCCCACATTGACACCCTTGCCAGAGTATGAAAAGAAAGGAAGGATGAAGACCAAAGCATCATCTTCTAATAATGACCAAAGGCTTAGAATGTCCATTTGTCATAAAGGAGGGACAAGGATGACCCAGATGGCATTTGGGTGCCTGATTAATTCCAAAGAAAAGGGATAAGACAAGGAGTGTGAGTTCCAGGCAGAGGTGTGCTGGCAAAGGTTTAACAACCAAGAAAAGCTTTCATTTGTAGCCCTTGTTAATTTAGTGATGTAAATGCTCCCACAATGGCTGATTTCAAACTACCAAAGTGACATCACTGAACATAAATTGGTAAGAGATGTGCCCAATCTTTCCTCATAAGTCGGTAAGAACTGATTCCAGCACGCTACCAATGGGCCAGAGAAACCTCTGAGGAAGTGACAGTTAGCTGAAATCTGAAAGAGCAGGAGCCAGCCATGCATACATCTGAGAGAAGAGCATTATATTAATATATTGCTGTGGATGAAAGGTCTAGATCCAGGCAAAATAGGATAAAAAGTGAAAGAAGTGATGGATTTTTATCAGCTTAATCCATGAAAATTGAAGAGTAATTCCTTTAGGACTGGTGAGACGTGGTTTGGTGTGTAAGAAGAAATAGGGAAGACAAGTTTGTGATACAGCTTGAGGAGATAATGAGAGGTGAAAGAATGAACAAAAGGAGAGTGAATAGTTGTGTTTCTGAAGGGAAAAATGTGGACACAGAATGTGACAAGGATATGTGAAGTGTCCAAAGATACCTTTTCACAGTCAGTACACATCTTTATACAAGGACAATTCTACTGACCCATTGCTAGAAAAGCACATATTTTGAATAATTTTTTCCAAAGGCAGAGATAAATTTGTTTCTTTACAGCCACGCTCTCCATATTTCAGCTTCCTCGTTGCCAAGGCTACACATTCACAGCCCATTCAGTGAGGTATCAGGAGTACTGCACCTTAAGAGGGCCATATCAACACATCCACCTGAAGAATGACGTTTTTAGTCCCAATTTCTGTCTTCCTGAGCTATTTGGTCAGAGAAATCACACATACGGTCCCAGACTGTTCCAAATGAAGCCCTGCAATGTGTCTAGGTGGG